TTTTTTTAAGTTGGCCCACTTGATGGCAAATTCCTATCGCGAACACTGCAATGTTCGCTATGATTATATTGTTGAGAATTACATTTTTAGTTCTCAAATACAAACATAAGATACCCCAATCCCTCAACCTTTATAAAGTAAAATCTAGAGTAGCTGAAAAACAAAGTATAGTTTTGAAAACAACCGTAATAATTTAACTTGTTAATTAACCCCCCTAGACAGGCTCCGGCGATTAAATTTGCAACATATAATTTTGTCAAGGGAAAAATATTAAGCCCCACAACTTAAAAAATCTAAATTAGATGAGTATCTTAAAAATACCATACACTAGAAGATTTTTTTAAAACATCTTAAATTTTATAAAGAATTTGCTGATGAAGAAGTCTTTTACAATACAAGTTAAGTAGGTACATATCAAAATCTGAAGAACAACGTACTGTTAAACTAAGAAATTATCATTTCGAAAATTGTCGCGGTAGTAATAGTACAATATAAAAAGGAAACAAACTTGTTGGAAAGTGAATTGCAAAATAAAATAATAGATATCATGTTGAAGCATTGTACAAATAATTTTTTGACCTGTAAAATGAAGATGTAGAAAGTGCATTACTAAGACATGCACTATGCAGTAGGAAAACTTCCATCAATTTCCATTGCAAGAAAACAAACAGTATTTCTCGCATATTCTTCTTACAACTGTGTCCAGCTCATAACTTGAGTCACAACATACAAGTAAATATTTCAGCAAACCTGCTGCAGAAGGCAAACTTCCATCAGCAGTAGGAATGGAAGCAGAAGCACCAAAACCATCAACACCGTCAGCATCTGGAGCAGATCTGGGAACTAAATAAAAAAAGATAAACAATGCTTAGACTTCAGTTAAACGTGTAGCAGATTACAGATTTCAAGAGAAAAAAAAGAGAGGCGGAATGTACTATTCGAGTTTCTGCTATTTGCAGCAGCAGGTTTTGATTCCTCAAATTCCTTAAAATTTAAGGGTCTTTGCACTGCATATTAAGGTTGACAATTGAAACCGAGAGAATAAAAGATAAAGCCATTATGATAATTATTTATTTACATCATTCAAAAGAAATTGAAAACAACAACACAGATATATAATAAACAAGCTGGGAGAATTGTATCAGTTTCCGGACTTCTGTAGCATTGATGAATTTACAAATCAAAGAATGTGTTTAATCTTACATCCATAAAAAGAAAAAAAGAAGAGAAATACTTAAAAATCACAGTATTCTGATTTCATAATTGTGTGTTCTTTCTCAATTCAGTTTTAGGACATTAACATACATACCAGATAGTTCTTATGTATTTATCATCCGATATTGATAGTATATTCTCTCAAATGACATTCTGGGGATAAACTTCCAAAATAAAATAACAAAAATAATTTTTTCACTAAACAGAACATGGAAAACAAGTTTATGAATTTCAACTGATAAGTGAATAATAGGGCTACTTTCAAAGGATTCAAACCTATTATGTTAACTGAAAATTAGCTTATTACAGCCCAAATAACTAATTTGAAATATTAGTGAGAGATAATTGATTAGGACTCCATTGCATGTAAACGCAGAGTTTAAAAACATCCCAAATGCATTCCAGTTACATTGACAATAAGCTTCCAAGGCTTTACTTACTAGCCACTTCAACATACAGCTAGCAAAAGAGAGTCTAGAAAAATAATATTAATTATTATTAATGTAAAAAGAAAAGTAAAAGAGAATATTGGAAAAGATACACACTTGCTGCTGGTTTATTATGCTGAGGTGAATCTTCTTGATGTAGCGAGCTTGATTCTGCAGAGAAATGGCCATTGGGAATCTTAGGGATAGTTTGTACTGTTGTGAGAGAACACAATATGTCAAGAGAAATCTATAGGGCTTGTTTGCAAATATATTGAAATGATTAATTACATTTTGAAGCAAAAATAGGCATTCAGAAACTGGTTCTTATTTGGAGAGTGCTCACCAACAATTGGTATCTTTCTCTGATAAGGATTAGGAGATTCCATATATGGAGATCGATGAAGTTGTTGCTCCCTCGTGTATTCGGGCATGATATTGTCACCTAGAAGGTGAATGAACAAACACATAAACTATGTTTGCCATATCAAAATTTTAAAAATTCAATGCGCTTAGTATCCAAATGGACAATTTTGTATTAAAAAGAGAATGGTGACTCCTAATGACAGGAATAAGCTTTGAATAGGACTTTTAATATTTGTTTCACATCATTCAATATTGAAGAAAAATTTAAAAACTATATACATTTTGTTAGGATAATCAAGTGTAATGAGCAAGTAATGCAAAAAATAGTAGGTAGTTGGTCTCCATCCATGATAAGCTTGAACTATGAGTTGAAAGAAAAAAAAAACTACTGAAATATCAAGCCCAGCTAGGGAAAAGATGAGAGAGTGGTCCACTGAGAGGTTTTTGGCTCTCAATAGTCGTTAGTGTCTTTAACCAAAGTATTTACGGGAAGATGAGTTGGGCGCTGGATCCATGTGGTTGAGTGTCTCTTAGCGCATAAGACTCCATAAATGTTAAAAAAAATTTGGGCTAAAGGGTATTGATAGTTGATTGTCAAGGCACACAAGTGTGTTGAATTTAGTCTCGCATTAGATAGATGAAATTAAGTTGTGTGAAAAAAATCAACTTGGTTCTCACCAATAGACATATCATTTGATGAAAGCTTTGCAATTAAAATAACTTCTCATGAACATGGTAATAAATTCAAATTTCACCAACCCGCCAACCCGGGGAAATCTCATAAGCAAGGCAAAGTTATAAGGCCATTGGTAGATATTATCTAGTAAACAAGTCAAATGAATTACAGTCATGTGGGCTCTGAAAATTCGGACCACTCCACGGGAACTCTCTGCATTTATTTTATTTTTGTTCTGAGAGAAATTTGGAAGGACAATTTTAGAAGATAGATTGGATTGTATGTAAGATAATACCCAGAGATTTCGCCTTCACTTTGAAGGGACTTTTTGATTTGGGTTTTGAGTTTACACATAGGCACAAGCCGTTAAGTTTCATTACCACTTTTGATAACGAGAGAGACTTTCAATTAAGGCTAGTATAAAAAAATGAATATTTAACATATAATAGCATCAGACTTAAGATTTAAACTAAAACATTTGTCATTTGAAGCTTAAAACTAATGGTGAAAAAATTAAGACAGAACCTAATAAAAATATCATGTTTTCTTCATCTCGGGTCGTCATAGTTCCTATTCTTCTTAATCAGAGGAGGTAGTCGACCCAATCTGGCTGAAAGTTTCTTATTAAAGAGCCATAATTTGTGTTGTCCAAGAGATCCTTATAAATATAGTATAAATAGTTTAAGTTTACTTTAGCTAACAAAAAACTTTGTGTCAATCGATTGTACTCTTATGATTCACAACTCAAAAAATAGAAAGACATTCAAGAGCGTTCGGGCTGTGATCATGACCGTAATATAATCGTGTCATTTGGCAGCAACCATCGGTCATAAGGCTCCGGTCGTAACCAATATTTTGTGTTGTCATTTGGCAGCAGAATCACGCAGACAAAAGGCTTGAACCACTTTTTTACAGGCATACAATTGTTTTGATTGTGAATATAGATGTGCATTTGAAAGACAAGCAGTTTTAAAACACTCAAACCAAAAAAGATCCTTCGTGAGCTGAAGTCAATCAAAACCTTGCCACAAACAGTTTTGAAAGACGAATGAATTTTTTTTAGCTTTTAAGTAGTTGAATTGTACTTAAAACACTAGTTGGTTATTTTAAAATCTTTATTTTAAAGATTGACCCGTTCTACTTGAAAACTTAGATCAACACGATTATTATCGGGGACTTGAGCATTTAAATTTTTATATCTGAAGGTGGCCGTCAATTTCATCTGTAGGTTTAAGCCACGTTGATCCCTATCCTTACAAGGAGAGGGATTAGACTGTGTGATTTGAACTTGTAAATTTTTATCTTTAGGATTTAGATATTATTAAACTTATTAGACTTGTCAACTCTAGATTTTGCTAGGAGTTAGAACGAACTAGTTAAGTGAGACTTACAACCCTGTTTTATAGACAATGCAACCCAATTAGCCCGCACAACAACCTCCAACTTAATATTTGTGTGTTCCATATCTTGGTTGGAGCACATGCAGACATTTAAATTTTGCATGTCTGAATAGCTTAAAGGATTTGAAGGTTTTGAAGGTTTTGTGCAACCTTTAAATTATAACTTTGATATTTAGTTTAGATTAAGAGATTTGAAATCAAGTATAAGATTTTTATCCTTATGAATCGAAATAGTATAATTTAAAGGTTGCATACAATACACAAATCAAGATAGTATACTTTAAAGGAAAAGTAATATAATATTTTATTAGGATATTATCTTATTAGAGTGCATACAACATTACATTTTCTGGCTTCAAGAGGGACTATCTTTTGCTCGCTAGCAAGTGTATTGTGAATCTGGTAGATAGTGATTAATTTCAAATTTCAATAAAGCTACATACTAGAAATACTTTTTTGTCCCTTGGAGCCTAAGTTCGAAAAGCTCAGTTTTGAATTGATTTTTAAACCATATGAGCCTAAGTCTAAAAAACTCAATTTTAAAATATTTTCAGATTTACGAGTTTAAATTTGATAGTTTCAAACTTTAATATTTTAAGCCCTAAAAGTTTATATTTTAAAAGCCTGAAACTTTAAAATTTTTTAAAACCTTAAGAGCCTAATTGTTTTAAAATTCAACTGAGTCAAATTTTAAGTTATTTTATAAGCTCGAATATTTCAAATATTAAATTAAGTATAAGTTCAAACCAGTTGAAATTTTGGCAGCCTCCCGATGTCAAACTCCGTAAGGAAACAGGAGTTTGTCAGTCTTCTCAACTATCTCAAAAGAATCACTGGTCACTGTCGTGAGACACTACGACAAGGGAGAAAAAAGGAACATTTAACACACGATCTCAAAAGATGCAACGAGCCTTCAATGCACCTACAGTAAGTATCAATAATTTTTTCCTTTCCTCCCTCTTTTTATTACGGTCAACAAGCCATCCACCCCTAACTGAACTTTTTTCTCGATTATTTAGTTGACTTCACCAACCTGAAACCTTGTCATCTCATGCGATAGGCGAAGTTTATTTTCCCATAATACAACTCACTGGTCGACGCATTTACTAAAAAATCCAAAAGATAACTTCAATTCAAGAAACTAATGTCATGAAAGTTTAGTAGAATAAAAAATTGAAAGAGAAATAATAAAAATCAATCAATATTAGAAGTTTTCTTTTAATAGCTTTTTAATTTAAACAATTGAATTATAAAAAAATTTTAAAGTATGTTTTATATTAACATCATTAAATAAACCAACTCACCCACAAGCCAAATATATAGTTAAGCATGAATTGGCTCATAAGCTGGCTAAACTTAATTACATGCCTAGCCTACTCCATATAAAAACACTTAGCAAAGTATTCTTGAACTAAACAGGGTAAAACATACTAAATAACAAAATAAATTATTTTTAAAAAATAACCAATATGGAGATGCTACATGTACAGTGAACCCATCCCCTCTATACCACCACTTGTTGCAACCAACAATTATTCCAAGTGATAAATGAGCATAGGGAAGGGTAATTAGAAGTCCTAAACTTAGGGAAGCTAATGATTATATTGAGTCAACATCAAGCTAGAGCTAACCAGTTATAAGAGCGTTTAATTCAATCATGTAATTTTGGCTATTTCTTTAAGGTTCCAAGTCAAGCATGTAATACATATTTAAATAGTGCTTTATTTCACTTTTAAGAGTGATCGTCTCACGTTTAAAGCTGCACAAACTGAAGATTAATGAAGCTGCAAAAAGATAAAAGAAACAGCAGAAGAAATTAAAGAAGAAGACGAACCTGCTACATTCTCCGACGTGAACTTCCTCTTTCTCTTCATCACCGGGCCGGAATCCAACCGTAACATATCATCAAACTTACACAACTGAGTCCTGCTTTGCAATCCCTCTGAAATCACACATTTTTAAATCACTGTAAAAAATTAAAAAAAATGTAATAAAAAACAAATTTTGAAAATATATATTTGCACTTGCACCCACCGGGCGGAGGCACCAGAGCTCCTCGCGCTCCAAAGAAATAAACTTGCTCGAAATGATGAAGAAGACTCAAATAATACTTTCTCAACACAAAAGAAGCGCTGGTCGTCGTCGGCGGAAAGTTAAAAGTCGCTATAACTTCCCTCCATCTCTTCTCCATAATCACCTACATCACCATTCATCTTTTTTAATCAATCATAACAAAATGAATGATTTTTTGTCAAACAAAAAAATGCAAACTTTAGCTCAATCACCTTCTCAACTCCCCCTCTTTGTGTCACCTCCACGTAAAGCAAATGCAGGTTAAGATCCTTCCCTCCTATCACCGGAATCCTTCCCAAATCCAACAAAAAAA